GAATGCTCGAACTTGAGATGCTGAATCCTAAGCCCTAAACCCTAAATCCTAAACCCTAAACCCTAAACCCCAACCCTAAATCCTAAACCCGAAACCCTAAGCCGCAACCGCTGAGGATGATGGATCTGTTCTTCACTGCGAGAACTACCTTCAACCAGCTAATAGCGGCATCTTTGCTGAAGCAAAGAGATATGAGGTTTCCAGAATTTGGGGTACCTTTAAAAGGGGCTTATAAGGGGATATATAGGGTTCTAAAGGGGTTATATAGGGTTTAGGGTTTAGGGATTTCCCAAAATTAGCGGTACCTTTTATGGGGTCCCTGTAACAAGGATTGTAGTATTTTGGGGGTCTGTGTTGAGGTCCCCCCATTTTGGGAAGCTGCCATAAACGGAAACAAAGACTAGCCCTAAAACCTAAAACCTAAACCCTATACCCTGAACCCGAAAGCTTAAATCCTAAACCCTAAACTCTAAACCCTAAACCCTAACCCTTGCCGAGGCTGGTAGGCGAACCTACGGTGGAGAGAAGCTCTCGGACCTTGCGAGTTGGCTTCTCTGTCAAAATTTCAGAAAATTCCCTGCATGACCTTTTAATGAGTTTAGGGGTTTAGGGTTTAGGCGTTAGGGTTTTAGGGGTTAAGGATTTAGGGATTTAGGGTTTAGCGGTTTCGGGATTTAAGGTATAGGCGTTTAAGGTTTAAAGCACCCTGATAACCCCGATCTAGTTGCCATTTGTCACTATAGATTGTTCAGCAAGGGCCTACTACTCTGAGGAACTCCCAAATCATGGCACGGAGAAATTTATGTCTGGCGTGCATGGCAGTAGAGAAGAAGTGATGCTGCAACATGGAAGTGAGCAATTGCTGTGATGAGAACAAGCAATGGATAAACTCCTGGAGCTTCACTCAGAATTTCGCAGAACTGCCAGAAAACCCCTAGAACTCCAATTCCAATCTTGCTCCGTGCCAGAAACACATTTCAATTTGCAAGTGCTAAAGGGGGATTGTGAGAGGGCACATGGGGTATTACTATCAGGGATTATCTCCCCAAGCTCCCTTGAGCACAAGTAGGACAAGTGCTTCCGAGGCACGAGGTGGTCCAGACTTATGTTATGCAAAATGCTCTTGGCAACCAACTGTTGGAGCCCCTCGGCCTCAAATTGAGGTGCACCCTGGTTGATCGGCTGATCATGGGAGTTTGGAAGTTGGTTTGGGGTAGTTACATAGCTGCAGGGCATCTCAGTGACGGAACTCACCGAAACCCTAAACCCCATTGAGCATTTGTGTTGTCGTCTGAGTTATGCCTTCCCCTCTACCTTCCTGGCACCGTTCCTCTTCGAGCCCTTGCTTGGCAACTGGGCAGCGCACAAGTCGTATATCTCTTGGTTGAAGATGAGGTGATGTACTGGGACTGCTTCAGATTTGAGTTCTCGTGAAATGGTAGTTTCCCAAAATGGGGGGACCCAAACAAAGACCCAGAAATATTATAATTAGCCTAAACTCGAAACCCCTACACCCTAAACCGCTAAACCTTAAAACCCAGGCTTCATTCTCTATCACCTCGGCAAGCTAATGGTCCGTTCCCACGTTGCGTTGAGCAAGTACGACGCGCAGTTCCGTGGATGCAGGTTTAGTGGATTTTAGTGGGGTTACATGGGGGAGTTCCCAAAATTCGGGTCCCTTTTTTGGTACCCAAAAGGGTCCGCATGATTTTGAGAATAACGCATATAGGGGTATGTAGGGATAAATAGGGGTTTAGGGTTCAAACTTGCTGAAGATCATATCAGCAGCCAAGAAAAGTGAATAACCGCCAGCCAATGAACCGCTTGAAAGCCGAGGGTGGCACATTCTGAAGTAGCAAAACGTAGAACTTAGCAGGCAGCTGAGCACTTGGAACCGTCAAAGGCCAATTAACGTTAATGCAGCAGCTGTAACAACCCTAAACTCCTTAAAAGTATATAGGGGATTATATATGGTTGTATTCTAGGGTTTATTGACGGGGATACTAGGAGTTTAGGCTATAACCCCTATAGTTTCCTACATAGTCCCAGTGTCCATTCCATTTTCCATTTTCTTTTCCATTTGATTCTCCACTATTAAGGGGGATACTAGGAGTTTAGACTATAGCATACATTGAACCCTAAACCCTAAACCCAACCCCTTTGAACCTTGTCCAGAATCCCCTGAAGCAGCGGCCCCATCCGAACCCTGAACCTTAAATCCAACGCTTCAAGCAAGTAACTCTAAACCCTAAGCCTTACACCCTAAACCCTAAGCCCTACACCCAAAACCCTAAGCCCTGGGCGCCAAAACCCTAAGCCCTACACCCTAACCCTAAGCCCTACACACTAAACCCTAAGCCGTAAGCCCCAGGTACCCTACACCCTGAACCCGAATCCCCAAATCCTTTGAAGCGCCCTGGCGGGCAAGGAGTGCGGTAAGTTGGTTCTGGGTCAATGACCTTTCTCGCTATGCCGACACCATCCTGAATCTGACCATCGCAGTAGCGGCCTTAAAGGGGTTTGGGGTTCATAGGGTTGAGAGTTTATGGATGTTAAAGTGTGTACAGGGTTTAGACTTTATAGGGTTTAGGGTTTAAAGGGTTCAGGGTTTATAGTGTTTCGGGTTGAAGGCTGCAATTTCCTGAAGTCTTAGAGCTTGCCGTCGCCAATCCCAAAACCCTGACCTGCACGGCATTTTGAGGACCTCAAACCCTAAAACTTTCGGGATACTGCAGGGCCCTGCGCACAACAACCTCGTTTGCTTGTTGTTTGGTTGCAATCTACGTTACCATTATGCCATGTTCAAACCATCCTATCTAGGTGCTGTTTTGCTCGTGCACCTGTCTTCAAGTCACTTTGCTGAAGCCCGCATCCACAACATTTTCTCCGAAGATGTTGGAAAGACTCCAGCTACGGCGGCAACGTTCTTTTGCCATTCCGCCCGCCGCGCGCACAAAAAGGTCAACCGTGGAAATTCTGCAAGGCAACAACATGCTGCAAGCACCCTGATGGTTACGTGGTTACCAACATTATGGCCCTTGGCTCCTTGTATAATTATGATAAAAAGGCAACTCAAACACGCATCAGAACAATGTTGGTAATGAGTGAGGTCCCTGTAGTGCCTGGTGCTTATCCCCTGACCCCACTGAGCTTGCTTCAAGATGGCTGTCAGCAGTAACTAGAGTAATGGATGTGTAGGTTTTTGGTACAAGGACTTCCACAAAGACTCCTTGCGCAGGTAATCTTCCTGGCAATCCACGGGGGCTTCAACGCGAGGGCTTTCGGCTACCTGTTGGAAGCCTGGCGGCGTTTTGAGAGATGGCCCAGTTCCCTGTGGGGGATGCCTGTAGTCTTCCATTGTTGGTGCAATTCACCTGAACCCCACTTTGCATTTTCAGTGACTACCCTTTGAGTTCTCCGATGGCCACGTGCCATAACATGAAACATGAAAATGGCTGCGCAGCTTCTATTCGCTGCGGCCGACAAGTTTGTTTTTGCCACTTTGCTTGGGCCGTGATGTGCTCTGCCACTTGGCGATCTTTCAAGCCATGATGTAGCTCGGAGACGATGTAGCAGGCCCAATGGGAAAGATCTGGAAGGAAGCAGGCATCCATTGAATTGTGGTTAGTAGGGAAGATGGAAATATAATCCCTACATAATTTTTAGATATTATCTTCCCATATTGCCTACTAACCACGTGTAAGTATGATGGGCGCAGGGTTGGGGGGGCTCCACACTGAGGGATGCCACCTCTACATCTATCTCTTCGACCACTGGATGCTTTTGCGCGCCATGCCTCGAGCAAGGAGCCTTGGCAAACAACCACTCTGAAGGGTAGTTTACCTTAGGACCTCCCACCCGGTAATGGTGAGTATATATAGTCCCCCTTAAGTAGATAGAATATGGCTTTGGGTATATTATAATAGGATCCCACTATACCCCATATTCTATCTACTTAAGGGGGACTATAGGATATTGGTGATAATATTCAGGTCCTTGTATATTCCCATTACAGCACTATTGCAGGTTGGGGGGTTCCAGCCGAGCCTAAACCCTAAGCCCTAAGCCCTAAACCCTAAGCCCTGAACCCTAAGCCCTGAACCCTAAGCCTAAACCTTAAGCCCTAAACCCTAGACCCTACGCCCTAAACCTGAAGTCTTGCCACTTTACAGTTCTTTTTTGGGAAGCTCTCAAGCAAGGTACAACTTGATGTCTGTGGACAGTTTAGCGCCGCCTGGCAGGCTAAGCCAACTTAGGCTTCTAATGGGATAATGGACAAGAAAATGGAAACTACTACTTAATAACAGGGTGTATATGGAGGTTATATTGGGATAATGTAACTGTAGGCTACCGTGGGCTTAGGGTAGTTTAGGATCTTGGGCTTAGGGTAGTTTAGGATCTTGGTCTTAGGGTAGTTTAGGATCTTGGGCTTAGGGTTTAGGGGGGCCTAAACAGTCGGAATAATGATAGAAATAACCATAGGAGATGACATGGAATCTGTCATGGGTGTGATTTCGCCGCTTCATCCCTCTGGCGTTTGAAGGTGTTTTGTTCTTTTGCATGTTAGTTTGCACACGGGTGCTGCCAGCTTAGGCACATGATGATGGTCATACCAAATGGTATTGCTCTCGTATGCTTGGTCCCTGCCCGAGTGAAGTATGTGTTTAGGGATTTAGGGTTTAGGGATTTAGGGTTCAGGGTTTGGAGCTTCGGCTTTTTCTGCCATGCAAGCAAAGGTGTTCAAAGCCAACTGCAAGAACATGCTTCTTGGCGGCAGTCTGGGAGATTTCCTGTGATTGCCAGTGGGGCTGCGATGCTAGACCTATATTATGATATCCACCTTCATGTACTATAATATATTATCATATCGTATAATATACGAGAACGGATTGTAATGTCCTATATTATACTATAGTATACTATAATATATCACCATTTACAATATAGTATATTTTCTGTACTAGTTTCATATTGAACCCAGGCAAGAGCACCCGCTGGGCAGGCTGATGCCCTTCGAGACATATTGCTTTGTAAGCATGGATCTCATTCGCGACTCGGCTTTATCTTTAGTGGGCGGGGGCCCTACAACCTCCTGTGCATGATCGATATTTTTGTTTTCTGATTTTGTGTGTAGCTGCGCGTAGCTGCATAAAGAGAGTTGGCATTTCTGTCGATGCAGGTGTTTTGATTTTAGCCTTCGTGGTCCATGCGAGCATTCATATGTTCATCGTGCAGCTTGGCGTGCACCATGTGGGCTGTTCGCAAAATTACGCGCCCCTTTTGGTTCTAGATTATTTAAGGGCTGCCGCCGCTGCCGCCGACCCCGCAAAGGGGCGGCTGCAGCACAGGGGCAAATTGCGGGGTCCTCCCGGGAGTACTGTAACACATTAGATTTCTGTCAGGTAGGAAGTAAGGCTAGGGTATTTTTGTTGTTTCTAACGCGTACAAAAAGA